CATACTTTTTACCTAAAACTGAATAAACATATTGCACTAATCCCATCAAAAAAATTTTTTTTTACACATATACCATATCTGCATACGTGCACGCACTCATATATACATCTACACACTTACATCTCTTTTGCTCATAATCTAAATCACATTGCTCATATCCCATCAAAAATTACACATATATCATACCCACACATGAACACACTTACACATTCATACTCAGACACTAATATCCATCTCTCCATCTCAAAACTGAAAAATTATATTACACAAATCCAATCAAAAATTTACACATACATCATACCTACATAAGCACACGCATTTATATATATATACTCACTTTTATACACTTATACATCAATTATACACTCACAATACACATGCGCGCATACATGTATGCAACACTTTTTTTCCACATCACTATAAAAATATTTGACGTCAAGCTGTCTAACCCAACAACACCTCTCCCCTCCCCTCATCTCATTCGACATATTTTCTCGACACCGAAAGTGAGAATGAATACACAATAGCGCAGCCGCAACATCGAGCAGAAATAACCAATCGAAAATAAGCAAGCCGTTCAGGCAACCAATGACACAACAACTAAACTGACAGAAGCTTTTATCCAAGACATACTCCGCTTTTAGTATGTGCCCAGAGCTTACCCTAACCTGGAACATTGATACCCCTTATCCCGGACAACAACCAACATAATAATTTCGCTCAAATCATTGGACTCAACCACCTAACAAAGAAAAGAAATAAGAACTTACGAAGCCTTACGTTAGAGGGCGCACTGCTACACGCACACGCACACTGACACAGTCACACCATCTTTTCTTTAATTTTCATATGTTATTTAACATTATCATATCGCATTAATATATATACATATATATATTTCTTCACACTTTTATTTCTGCAATCATTAAAAAATAATAATAACTATTGGCGTGTCGCCGCCATTCACCGCCATCAGCACAACAACAACAACAAACAACTGTACAAATATAAAAATAAATAACAACAACATCAAACAACTACATTATACTTACCTGAACTCAATAAACAAGGTGTACTAACCTCATTTGCTCACCTTTCACCAAAAACACAAATCCAGAATCACAAATATCCAAATATTGGCGCGCCTCCTCCGACACTCATACTCACTTTGCCGTCGGCAACTCTATCAATTAAGTTGTAAACAAATCTCTGTGATCTGTGTGCATGTCTTCGCAAAAAAGCATAAAATCTATCCTTACGATTTTTAAATTAGAATAATTATTTGAACGGGTCGTCGTCAAAAATATTAACTTTAACAATTATTCTGCTGTGCTGTACCGTCGGCTTCTCACACTCTCTCTCATCTTACAACTTCCCATAAATTCATTGCTCCGCCATTGAACAACATATAAGACGTGTCACTGTCATAAACTTCTCCATTTCCATCTTTCTATTTTAATAACAATAACAAATAATAATTTTTAAACACTTAAACTCTTATTTTCACCCATTATTTTGGTTTGCCGTCGGCACTTCACACTTCCGCAATTCACAAATATAACAATACAAATATGCCACAATCTAAACAAACATCTTCGCCATCGTCTCGGCCGGCATTATCGCCAGGCCTGATCTCAGACTTATCTGACATGTCGCTATCGCCGATGTCGCCGCCCAAATCAACAAAAGTTGTGCCAAACGCACCAAACTTTATGGCGCCAACATCATCATTACTTACTACAACATTAAAAGCAGCAACTATGCCTCAGTCATCGGCCCTCGCGCCCCTTGCCCATGTATCGTCACCAATACCGCACACCAGGCAGACGCAAGAGGGACATTCACTTAGACTGAAATCACGCGAGAGTAGTGTGAACGAGACAAACATAGCGTACGCTGCCTCACCAGCTACAACTCCGTCAATTGCGGCGAATTCAAATTTGCCCGTCACCATATATCAAAACAAAAACAATAACAATAGCCAAACTTTATCAGCTGAACAACAAGAACAGTTGACTCGATATAAAAGACTCATCGCACAGCTAGAGCCTGGCAATTCTAGTGATGTGCAAACACATATAACAAATGCACGAAACACAGCTGGCCATGCCGACTATTATCATTCCACTAATAACAACAACTATAACAATAATAATAATAATAAAAATAAAGGACACTCTTCAAGTGATCTCTTTATTGATATTGAAGGCTTCGATAGTGACCCACATACATCTGCAGCAGCTAACCTGCTGATGATTACTAAATCACGACAGGTTGACTGCTCATCTGCCCCACTTGATTCAGCCATCGCTCCCCCTTTTCCACCCCTAATAGCTACAATAGCAGTGACACCAACAACGACAACATCAGAAACTCCATTTTTCCCACCATATACAACGGAATTGACTGGCATTAATAATGATGTTCCCATGACACAGATCACCATCTCTAGTAGTGAAATTAGCAACAATAACGATGTCTGCAATAATAGCAAGCTGCCCATTTCAGACGATAATTCGATCAACATTCCTGCCACTACGGGCGCTCTACCCTACAAGCAGCCACACTCGTCCACCAAAGTAGACAGCCAGATACATCGGAAGATTACTCGCATCACAAACCGCAAAATCTCTTCTAAATCCCGTTTGACACAACAAAACGCATCTCGCAAAACGCGACTAATATCAAATCGATTTCGTCTCCTGTCCGAATCCGACTCAGGCGCGTCTGACCATCAATTGCAATCACAATCGTCGCTTAAACAGCGACAAACGAATGCTATGATCAACTCTTTGACAACAAACAGCTTCGCCTCCACCGTCCAATCAGCCTTAGCAGCACGCCTACCATCACCATCACTGTCAGCACCTACAACAACTACAATAACAACTAACAATGCCCAAATGGCCGCAGCAGCAACACCAGCAACTACTTCAATGGCAACCTCAACGGCTGCAAAAACAACAACGATCCCTTTCCTCGATTCCGCAACCAACACTTCTGACAATATGGAACCCAACTTCTCTTCTGCCCCCATCCAACAACAATCCAAACAACCCCAACAACATACGTTCACTAATACAGTTCCTAAACAGTTTAAGCCTCCACAAATATGCGTACAACATAACAATTCCAATCAGACCGATATAGACTCGCTAGTAGCGAAATTAAATGATCATAATCCACCGATAGTGGACTATGATCTAAAACTGGGTGGTCCCGGCATCCTGCGAATCTTACCCAAATCGGCCCAAACACACGACCACATCATCCGTATCCTTGAAACGGATAGCACCATAAACTACAACACCTACCAGAAACGCGATGAGCGCTCATTTCGAGTTGTCGTACGTGGCATTCACGCCACAACCAGCACGACCAACATACAAAATGAGCTGACCGGTATGGGCTATACAATACGTAATGTATATAATCCCGTTTACCGAAATCGCAACGATTCTGGCCCATATCGCCCGAATCTGTTCTTCATTGAATTGGCTCCCAATTCAATGAAGAATCCTACAACCATTTTCGGCGTCCGACAACTATGCAAATTCTTAATCCGCTTTGAATGGCCAAAAATCGATGGCAAGATATTGCCACAATGCCACCGCTGTCAGCGTTACAACCATACGGCGCGCTATTGTCGCCATAGTCCGCGCTGTGTGAAATGCGGCCAGGATCACCTATCGCAACAATGCTCCAAACCTGTCAATTTACCAGCAAACTGTGCAAATTGCTCCCAATCACATACGGCCAACTATAAGGGCTGCCCATTATATCTAGATTTGTTGAGAACAAAACAAAATACATATCCAAGCATTCGGAACGATCAATCAAGGCAGCAACAGCTACTGATGCATGCCAATCCGAATACACAGCGGCGGCAACGGCAACAGCAACAACAACGACAGCAATTGCCACTGCCCAAGCCCATAAACAAAAAACAAAAAACCAAAATGCACAAACAAAGCCCAAAACAACAAAAACGAGCACAGATTGAGCATCTACTTGCACAAGGGCAAAAACTAAATGTTGCCAACTCTGTCAACATCCCCATCATCAACAATAATAAAAATATCCCCACTAATAATGCTCCATCTGTCGCCAACCATACTTATAACACAATCACACCAGCTTCAAATTCCAACTCCTCAACAACATCGGCAGCAGCAACAACAAATATTATGCCAAATTCTTTCTCAAATTTGGACCCGCGCCTAAAATGGACCAAAATTCAAAATACCCAACAACTACAACAGCCGCATCAAATTGAACAGTTTGGCTTGATGATCAACCGTATTGCTAACATACAGCGCCAACAGCTGGATCCCCCTTCATCCACACGGTATAATGCTGCCTCAGCGCAGCACTCGAACCAATATGAGCCAATGCAAATCGACGATGAGCTGCAACAACAACAATCTCAACAACAACAAACTCCAAACATTTCCACCTCTGAACATAACTCAACCACCCAACTCTTGATTCAATTAGCCCAAAAACAACAAGAACAGCTTGACAAACTAACGCGCTGTATGAGCGATGTTCAACAGAAAATGCAGGGAGTAGTCCGAAATGTAGATGATTCCACTCTGCTAGTAACATCACCCTCATCCAGCTCAACTTAAGACTCGGAACAAATAACATATTAATTATCTAAAATAGAAAACAAATTTTTACTTACCTCTCTCTCATTCAATTTTCTGATAAATCGTAAGCGTATGTGTGCCTGCCTGCATCGCTTGTTACAATTTTCCGCAATTTTCTGCATTTAATTGCTCTAAACATCGGATGCATGCTCACACACACATACGCTCACGCACACGCTCTCACTCTGACGCATGTCTAAAATAATCTACCAGCGCCCATATTCACGCAGCTCAACTACCGTTGCCGTCTCATCAACATTAATCTACAAGCTCTCTCGCCAGATCGGCCGTCGCCACCCAGCCCATTGCCGCCAGCCTCGCATCTCCTCAATGCATGCACTCAACCCAATGTGCGCAAATATCGTCCCCACCTGGTTGAGCTTCATCGACATCATCAACAACTTCGCCATCTTCAACAACATCAAGAACAATCACAAAAACAACACCAGTAGCAGCCAATCAACAGCCACAACAGCAGCAACAGCGACAGCAGCAGAAGCAACAACAACATCAGCATCGACAGCAGAAACATCGGCATCGGCACCAACAACAACAACGTCAACACCAACATCACCAGCGGCAGCGGCAACTGTAGCACCAACAGCTCCCGCAACAACAGCAACAACAGCGACAACATCAACATCAACAACAGCAGCAACGGCAACAGCATCAGCGTCAACAACATCAGCAACAATCAGCATCATCATGAAACATCGGCAGCGGCACCTGCAGCAACAACATCAACACCAACATCACCAGCGGCTGCGACAACTGCAGCACAAATAGCTCCCGCAACAACAACGCCAACAACGACAACATTAACAACAGCAGCAGCGGCAACAACAGCAGCAGCGTCAGCACCAGCAGCGTCAACCACACCAGCAGCAGCAATCAACATCATCATCGGCAGCAACTTCAACAGAAGCATCAGCAACAAGCAATCGACAACAACAACAACAATCAACAGCTTTACACACACTAACTTAAACACTCTCCCGCATGCTCATATGACAAATTGTAATCAAAATCTTAGATTACTATCTAGCCTGTACCAATGTTTCTTCTTCTTTTTTCTTTCTAAGAAAAATGAAAGGAAACCACCCTATCTAGTGTGAGAGAGAATCGACACATGATCAATAATCCTATTCATTACAATTCACACACACACATACATAGTAACTTTTCACATTGAGGTATCTTAGAGGGATTTGTTCACAAATTTAAATCCAATATTTGATAAACTCTTTCAATTTCCTGCCTCAAACCTATAAAGAATCTCATCTGACGACCAACTGACATGCTTCGATGATAAAATATTATAGTTGCTGCCATTTGTAATGTCGAGCATTCTAAACACACACTCATATCATAACAGGCCGCCACATAATCTTATTATAAGATGGCAATTTGCCTATTGCTGCATATATACATATGTATAAACATACAAGCGCAGAAACTTGCCGTTATGTGCATGTAAACTTATATGCACGAGCGCGCAAGCAATTGCAATCCTCGCTATCATTACAAAATATCAACAAAAACACACACACTATCACGTGTACGCACACGCCTATACTTGCACATTGCGAGCGTGCGCATCGCTCCAACATCGTCCTCGCAAAATTCAAAAATTCTTTAAAATATACCAAAAATACAAAGAGTTCCCACAATCCCTCTAAAGTACTTCATAAACCTCTCTCTCACACTTAAAAACGCTTAATCAGCATATCTCCTACCAATTACCTGCTGGCTTATGGTGGACAAGTCTACTGACGCCGCACCTTACCCCAATTGTATATTACATCCACTCAATCAAAACACATATAATGTAAAATCTGTCAAAACAACTAAATATCTAATAGTTAATACAATTACAACAAAAATTGTTCTCACACATCAAACATTGTACCATACACATGCTCACAAATCAAATCGAATCAAATTCAAAGCATTTGCTTATAGTTTTAAGACAAAAACCATAAAATACCCACAAACAACATTCAACACTTTTTAACATGTAAAATGTTTATAATGCTTATTCATATCAAAAGTAATATATATCAATAAATAAATTCTGGGCTGAGAAGAGGGGACCGAGCGCATTCAACGTTCCCAAATGGGAGCGGGCGACCGGATGAGTGAGTGAGTCAGAGCGAACGAGTGGCCATCGTGCTGAAGTCGGACTGAACGAGTGGCCATAGTGCTCAAGTCGGAACACGAACTAGGACTAGGACTCGGACTTGGACTCGGACTCGGACCCGGATCGTCTCTCCATCTCTCTGTCTATCCCGCTCGCATGCTCGACTCGCTCGGCTCCATTGCCCGCTCCCGGAAACCAGTCGCTCTATCCCCGATTCCCATTCTCATGAAGCCACTTGCACAGAACGGACGTGTTTTCAACCGGTCTCGCGTCGGTGAAAAATTAAAAATTGAAAAATTGAAAATTATTAAACAGTACTTTGAGACTCTGAAATTGTGAACTTGTGAAAATTTTAAAACATTGAAATTGTGTAATTGTGTAATTGTTTAACAGTGAAAAAGTGCGAAAAGTGAAAGTGAGGGAATAAAGGTTGAGAATTTTGATGTATGGCAGCCGCCATTACATTATTTTCTCCTTTTTCCTCTTCTGCTGCTTGCGTGCATGTATAGTTGTATGCGCATGCTATTATTGGCATTGACGTGTACTCTGTCCATGTATGCGCAGCTGAATTATCTGCTTTCGCCTTTCTCCTACCACAAAATCGTCACAAATCGCCACCGTCACTAACCTCGCATCTAACCTAAAAAACTAAATTAACTAACCAACGTTTCATTATTCAACATAACCTTAAATCAACTCGTCACAATTCGCCATTGTCACTAACCTCGCATCTAACCTAAAAACTCAAATAACTAATCTACGTCTAATTTTCTAACAATACCTTAAATCAATCGGAAAAATAATTATCAAAAAATTAATTTACTGTGTGCATACAAATTATTATCCTTTTTCTGTGAAAAAATAATAACAATTACATAACCCACTCCACCATCACATAATACATACATACATATATATATGAATATACATGTATACATATACATATATACACAAATTTACATAACTATATCAAATAGCCCGTCTGCGGGCAGACCTCTACATTGTCAACACATGCTGATACATATATATTCGCACTACAAGAAAACAACAACATAACGAACACAAGTAGTCACATTTACTCAAAATCTCAAACACAAACTCTACATAACCTGGAGGAAAAACACAAATGACATACAATTCCAGGCTATACATATAAACACTTCTTTCCCCTCAATTGGCACAATTTGACAACTGACACATCACATTCAGACAGTAAGTGAACACATACATATATACTTACATACTTACTCACTCTTATACTCTCAGACACTAATACCCATACTTTTTACCTAAAACTGAATAAACATATTGCACTAATCCCATCAAAAAAATTTTTTTACACATATACCATATCTGCATACGTGCACGCACTCATATATACATCTACACACTTACATCTCTTTTGCTCATAACTAAATCACATTGCTCATATCCCATCAAAAATTACACATATATCATACCCACACATGAACACACTTACACATTCATACTCAGACACTAATATCCATCTCTCCATCTCAAAACTGAAAAATCATATTACACAAACCCAATCAAAAATTTACACATACATCATACCTACATAAGCACACGCATTTATATATATATACTCACTTTTATACACTTATACATCAATTATACACTCACAATACACATGCGCGCATACATGTATGCAACACTTTTTTTCCACATCACTATAAAAATATTTGACGTCAAGCTGTCTAACCCAACAACACCTCTCCCCTCCCCTCATCTCATTCGACATATTTTCTCGACACCGAAAGTGAGAATGAATACACAATAGCGCAGCCGCAACATCGAGCAGAAATAACCAATCGAAAATAAGCAAGCCGTTCAGGCAACCAATGACACAACAACTAAACTGACAGAAGCTTTTATCCAAGACATACTCCGCTTTTAGTATGTGCCCAGAGCTTACCCTAACCTGGAACATTGATACCCCTTATCCCGGACAACAACCAACATAATAATTTCGCTCAAATCATTGGACTCAACCACCTAACAAAGAAAAGAAATAAGAACTTACGAAGCCTTACGTTAGAGGGCGCACTGCTACACGCACACGCACACTGACACAGTCACACCATCTTTTCTTTAATTTTCATATGTTATTTAACATTATCATATCGCATTAATATATATACATATATATATTTCTTCACACTTTTATTTCTGCAATCATTAAAAAATAATAATAACTATTGGCGTGTCGCCGCCATTCACCGCCATCAGCACAACAACAACAACAAACAACTGTACAAATATAAAAATAAATAACAACAACATCAAACAACTACATTATACTTACCTGAACTCAATAAACAAGGTGTTCTAACCTCATTTGCTCACCTTTCACCAAAAACACAAATCCAGAATCACAAATATCCAAATATTGGCGTGCCTCCTCCGACACTCATACTCACTTTGCCGTCGGCAACCCTATCAATTAAGTTGTAAACAAATCTCTGGGATTTGTGTGCATGTCTTCGCCTTAAAAAACCTTAAAAAGCATAAAATCTATCCTTACGATTTTTAAATTAGAATAATTATTTGAACGGGTCGTCGTCAAAAATATTAACTTTAACAATTATTCTGCTGTGCTGTACCGTCGGCTTCTCACACTCTTTCTCATCTTACAACTTCCCATAAATTCATTGCTCCGCCATCGAACAACATATAAGACGTGTCACTGTCATAAACTTCTCCATTTCCATCTTTCTATTTTAATAACAATAACAAATAATAATTTTTAAACACTTAAACTCTTATTTTCATCCATTATTTTGGTTTGCCGTCGGCACTTCACACTTCCGCAATTCACAAATATAACAATACAAATATGCCACAATCTAAACAAACATCTTCGCCATCGTCTCGGCCGGCATTATCGCCAGGCCTGATCTCAGACTTATCTGACATGTCGCTATCGCCGATGTCGCCGCCCAAATCAACAAAAGTTGTGCCAAACGCACCAAACTTTATGGCGCCAATATCATCATTACTTACTACAACATTAAAAGCAGCAACTATGCCTCAGTCATCGGCCCTCGCGCCCCTTGCCCATGTATCGTCACCAATACCGCACACCAGGCAGACGCAAGAGGGACATTCACTTAGACTGAAATCACGCGAGAGTAGTGTGAGCGAGACAAACATAGCGTACGCTGCCGCACCAGCTACAACTCCGTCAATTGCGGCGAATTCAAATTTGCCCGTCACCATATATCAAAACAAAAACAATAACAATAGCCAAACTTTATCAGCTGAACAACAAGAACAGTTGACTCGATATAAAAGACTCATCGCACAGCTAGAGCCTGGCAATTCTAGTGATGTGCAAACACATATAACAAATGCACGAAACACAGCTGGCCATGCCGACTATTATCATTCCACTAATAACAACAACTATAACAATAATAATAATAATAAAAATAAAGGACACTCTTCAAGTGATCTCTTTATTGATATTGAAGGCTTCGATAGTGACCCACATACATCTGCAGCAGCTAACCTGCTGATGATTACTAAATCACGACAGGTTGACTGCTCATCTGCCCCACTTGATTCAGCCATCGCTCCCCCTTTTCCACCCCTAATAGCTACAATAGCAGTGACACCAACAACGACAACATCAGAAACTCCATTTTTCCCACCATATACAACGGAATTGACTGGCAATAATAATGATGTTCCCATGACACAGATCACCATCTCTAGTAGTGAAATTAGCAACAATAACGATGTCTGCAATAATAGCAAGCTGCCCATTTCAGACGATAATTCGATCAACATTCCTGCCACTACGGGCGCTCTACCCTACA